ACCCCAAAACCCCAAAACCCCAAAACCCCAAAACCCCAAAACCCCTTTATTTTTTATTAAATTGAGAAGAATAATATTAAAAATGCTAATTACAAGTTCCTTAACAAGAAGAAATATTTCAAGGGTGAAACCACAATCTTTCTCCTTCTTCAGCTCCTCCATCGAGGTAGAATTGCCAAAGTTCAAGGTTCACAGATTAGAAGAGAGTGAGCTCCCAACAAAGGCAACCACTACCAAGTCTGAACTTCTGAACTACTATAAAGATATGGCCTTAATGAGGAGAGTCGAGATCGTTTCTGATATGCTCTATAAGAACAAATGGATCAGAGGGTTTTGCCATCTCTATGATGGACAGGAATCCATCACTGTTGGAATGGAAGCCGCCCTAACCATGGAGGATCATATCATTAATGCTTACAGAGACCATACTACTGCAATGGGTCGGGGACATACTTCATACCAGATTATCGCAGAAATGATGCAGAGATCTACTGGTAGTTCTAAAGGAAAGGGAGGATCAATGCATTATTATAGCAGTAAGAACAACTTCTACGGTGGAAATGGTATTGTTGGTGCTCAAGTTCCAGTTGGAACTGGAGTCGCCTTTGGTATTAAATACGAAGGTAAAAAGCAGGTCTGTGTTTCTATGTACGGAGATGGCGCAGCTAATCAGGGACAAATCTACGAAGCAGCCAATATGGCTGGTCTTTGGAAATTGCCAATTATCTACACTTGTGAAAATAACAAATATGCTATGGGAACCTCAGTTGAAAGACATGCTCATAACACTGACTTCTATAAGCGTGGTGACTTAATCCCAGGAATAAGATGTGAGGCTAACAATGTTTTTGCTGTGAGAGAATTGTATAAATGGGGAAAGAAGTACTGCACAGATGGTAAAGGTCCTCTCTTCTTCGAACTCCAGACCTACAGATACCACGGACACTCCATGTCAGACCCAGGTATCACCTACAGAACCAGAGAAGAAGTAACCGAATACAGAAAGACTCAGGACCCTATCCTCTTGGTCAAAAAATGGATTTTAGAGCATGATATCGCCACTGAGAAATACCTAAAGGAAATCGACAAGGAGATCAGAGCTAGAATTGACGAAGAAGTCGAACAGATCAAGAACGATCCTATGCCTGCCCCAGAGGAGCTCATGACTGAGATCTACGAGGGTCAAGAGACTGAAAAGCCTTACATCCGTAACGTTGACATGATTTCGTCGATCAACAAAAACTTTGAATAAATAAATCCTTCCTAAAGATGATTTGCCTATTTAATTATTTGTCACGACAATTTGGGGATTTTTAAGGGGTTTTGGGGTTTTGGGGTTTTGGGGTTTTGGGGTTTTGGGG